TTGATTGAATTTTTTCACACCAATAACGGCCTTTTTCCTTTTTCTGTGGCAGACTGAAGCATTATGTAACCTAAAAATCCACAGCAGCAGCAGCAGCAGCAGCAGCAGTCATGGCCGCCATCACTAAAGACAGTTTTGTTCAGTGTGGACTCCTTACTGTGAACATCAGAGAGAAACAAGCTCTGTGTGAGCCAGTGTTTTATTGCACACACGAGCCTGTTCTCCCTTATGGCCTAATCAAACTTTCTGCAGCAGTGGGTAGCAGCAGCGGCGGCGTTCAGGTAGTCGTACGGGTGTTATGGTTGGCTGCGAGAGCTATAACACATGCTGCTGCCATCTCAGTTTTGCCATTATAAAGTTGAGCCGTTAGAGGAGTCCCATTATGGTTATTGATTTGCTTGTTTGCGCCCCGCTTGGTGGAGAAAACAGCACAAAGAGAGAGGTTGTTTCCTACATCTTTTATGTCCCCATTTCCAAACACAGGCGCGCTTTAGAACAGCAGGTGGGGCGGTCGGGGTAAGGGGGGGGGGGGGGGGGAACCCCAGGAGAATTATATGATAATATAAATGTTCTGCTGCACTGACTCTGCTCCGTAATGTTCCTCTCAAACCGAAACAAGTTAAAAAAAAAAACAAGATTTAAATGAGATCATGTCTGAACCTCCTCAGACGACTCCAGTCAAGACCTGATTCCCGCTCGCCCTCTCCGCTGCTCCATCAGTGCTATCAGATCACCTGTGTTAATGGTGACAATGAGAAGCCGTTTGTGGGTCAGGCCAGGATCTCATTTCCCATCTCCAGGACAGAAAAAATCAAGCCACCATTAACCCCATAGTGAACCAGCCATGTCGTCTTTACAACTTAATTAACGGAGGTGACGGGATCAGCCGCGATCAATTCCTCCCTGCAGACGAGACCTGCAGGGCAAACTAAGTTTTACTTAAAGGCGGGGACGAGCACGTTTCACACAGGCCTGCTTTAAAGGTGTTAGAGGATTCTACTGCTGGGAAGGAATATGGGTTTATAAAGTCTTTTTTTATTCTCGATTCTCAAGTTTGAAAATACTAAACACTCAGAGGTTCGGGAGGTTAAAAGTACAGACATGTGATCTTATGTTATGAACTGTAGGGGTTTGAAAAGTCTCTGTTATGCAGATCCAAAACTCAAATTGGATGTACATTTATTTCATTACTTGATGGCGTCGATCAGCTCAAATCAATTTGGTTCAGCTTTGTTTCTAACGAAGGACTTGTAGGGCCACATTAAGGTCGCAGCCATCAACAGCTCCTCTCAGTCTGCACAGATGTAGAAGAGATGTTTATTCATATTATTATTCCCTTTCTGTCCTGAATCCCTCCTGATAGATCTGACACCTAGAGGCATCGGCCAATACTGAGGAACCATGACAACATTATAAATGTTATTAGTAACTGACACTGTGCTTGCTTTAACTAACATTAACTTTAACTAACAAACTAACTTTAACTAACAATTTATTCTTATAAATTATAAATTATTATTATTAGAGTCTTTTCAAAAACCAAAATAGAATCATACGACCTTGTACCTGAACCATTCTTTTTCTAAGATTTATTTTAGTGCGTTTTGGGCCTTTATTGGAAAGAAAGGACAGTGGATAGAGAAAGGAAAAAAAGGGAGAGCGAGAGAGAGAGAGAGAGTAGGGAATGGTCGGATTTGAACCTGGGCTGCCCACTTGAGGATGGCAGCCTCCATGCATGGCGCCCGCATAAACACTGCGGCACCAGCGCCCCGGACCAATCATGTGAGGGGGAATAATCCGTCATGGATCAGATCTGTGCTTTGACTGGCACCCATAACTTGACCTTATATATTTGAGGACATTTTTAGAGACCGTTACCCTGACTGGTGTCGTCTCTCTATTGGCCAGAAGAAATAATTCAAGATTTTCAAAGCACGTCCTTATTGACTTCATTTTGAAACCAGAGGCTCCTCCCTCTTTTAACGTGGAGTCCTGCTGATCAGTCTTAACAAGTGGAGACATACGCTCTAGTATTGGTTCATCACATCCCTCTTCCTGTCAGTGGGCGTGTGTACATGAAGTTTCTCTGGAGTGATATCCAGTTCAAGCTGAACTCAAACAGTCCCCACTGTGTGTTTATTCCTCTGTTGTTATTATCTGGTCTAGTTTTTGTTAAGCACAAACAAATTCTCACTTCAAATTCACAAACAAACAAACACACAAACAAATTCTCACAGTCACTGTGCATATAGACTCCGCCTGTGTTGTAAACAAACGTCGCTGTCGCTGCACGCCTCCAGATGTTGCTCCTACGCTCGCCCCCTCGCTCTGTGCCAGAGATTAAATTTCTCCTCCTCACTCACCTCGGTGACATTGAAGGTCTACTTTTAAATTGACCGACGTCATGGACTGAAAACCAGACTTTTCTCCTCTTTTCTGCCAATTCAAGCTGTAAGACTTCAGGAGGACCTTCAGACATGTGCAGTAAATATACACCCACCTCAAACAGGAAGAAAGGATCGGAGTGTTTACATGGATATAGATCCAAACATTATCAGCATAAACCCCACCTCATAAACCCCACTGTTTTCTGAATGGGCTGGATCGGATCAGTCTCTTCTGATTTAGGTGTTTTAGTGTTGCAGTACTCGAAATCGGTCTTGGTCCCAAGAACGGTCTGGAGGCCACTTTTTGAAGGTCTAGTCTCGGCTCGAAATCAAAAGCACTTTTACTCGGTCTTGTCTCGTACTGAGATGGGTCCAGATTTTTAAATGAAGACCGCTCAAGACCAACACTGATTGGCTATCTGTCCTTACTTACATCACTGTGATTAGAAGGAAAATTCCTCTTTCTCAAAGAATAATTAAAAATAATGAATTCCTAAAAATAGATTTTTATCGCCCAGTTATTGTCGCAACTTCCATGTTTTGGTCTAAGTGGGCGATACGGCTGCCACACACAATTATTATTATTATTGGTCTTGGTTTTGTCTCGTTCTAGCCCTGCCTTGGTCTTGGTCTTGACTCTTTCTCAATCCCTGTCTCTGGTATGTCTTGGTCTCGGTTACTGTGTTCTTGACTACAACACTACAGGTGTTTACATGAAGCCCTTTTTCTTCTGATCAGACTTTTATTCTGATTATTTGTGGTCCATGGAAACACAGCAAGCATGATTAGTACTTTAAGTGACAAAAGTAGACGCCTTGTTAGGTACACATCAGCAGCTCTGCAGGGAGCCAAAGCGCAAAAACAATGAATGGAAATCATCAAAAGTGTTTGGTAGAAATCTTTTTATGGATTTTACCAGTTTGATTACTTTGATTACACTTGATTAAATTAACTCTGTAACTTTATGTGTGTGCCTGTGCATGTGTGTGTGTTAGCCCTGTTGTGGACTCTAACCCTGCTGACACTAACTATCTGCACACAGTAAATAAAGGAGTTCATTAACAGCATTTAATTTGCATGGCAGCTTTTTTGGTGGGGATTAATTGTCTTGTTTGTAATCTAACACATGCAATTACCATATGATAGGACTCCTAACAGCCAAGTAAAGCTGTCCTGAATGCTAAACACCGGGAACACACACAGTATTGTGATCCAGGCCACAGTAGTCCCTGTGTGTGCGTTGGGAAGGAGCTCGGGGAAGGCCTGGCAGCCTGTCTCCGGGCTGGCACACTCTGACCCCTGGCATATGGTACATGTTCCCAGCCTGCTGGCTTATTTGTCGCTCAGTGACCTGGACCGCAACAATAGTTTGAACAAGGTCTACTTCCCTGAGTTACAAGAAAAGCATGTCTTCTGCAGCCTCACCAACAAACTCTGACATCCATGAATTATGGAACAACGACGAATGATAACAATGCTCAACTACACCGGGGCAAACAGTCGAATGTTCGATAAGAAACACTTTAATTTATTCTGAACTGTTTTCTCAGCTTGGGAAACAACAAAATGCCAATACATGGGAGGAGAAATACAGATTTTTAAGAATGACTAACATGTCAAGAAAGAGAAATTATGAGCAGCATCTCATTAATCCAGTGAAACGTTTTCTTTGCTTTATAAAATGGGTAAAGGGTCAAAAAAGACCTTAAAGGTGACATATTCTCCTCCTCTTAAATCAGTTTAAATAAGTCTCAGAGCTTCTCAAAACATGTGTGTGAAGTTTCTTGTTCTAAATCACTCTGATCCTGTATTTGATCATGTCTATAAACCCCTCTATTTCAGCCCTGCTCAGAACAGGCTGTTTCTGTGTCTGTACCTTTAAATATGTAAATGAGCTGTGTCTGACCACGCCCCCTCTCTGGAAGGTCTCGGGCTTTCTCGCTCTATATCCTATTGTTTACGGTGAGAAGGCAGACTCAGAGGGCAGAACAAACACCTAGCTGTGGGAGTGTCACCCACCTGGGGGAGGGGCTACTACCCTTTGTGATGTCATGAAGTGAAACTCTCCAAACGGCCTGTTTGAGCACACATTTTTTGAAAAGTGGAGCAGGCAGAAGACGTAGAGGATGGACTTTTCTCATCATTGGTGGGTTTGTAGACCAACTAGGGACACTTATTAGTCTTAGAGAAACATGGTGAAGTGGATTATGAAGAATATGTGACCTTTAAATTAGTCGTGTCTCCTTTAGCTTAGTGTATTTAGAGCATGCTAGAAGCAGGTCTAAAGGAGTGGATGTATTAGTTTGATCAGCTTTGACAAACAAAGGCCAAAAAGCAGAATAAGACATTAAAACAACTCTGATGGAGTTTTATGACCACTGTACACCAAACAGCTGAGCTCACAGGAGTGAGCCCAAACTCTAAAAAAATGCTCAAGTCTACCAAAGGAACTACTTGTTACAATAGTACTCGGCTTATTTTTGTTTTATGTGTATTGAATCATTTCTTTTTCTATTTCTGCTTTATGTACTTTCAGTTTCTTCTATAAATCTAATTTGTGATTGGTGTATATTTTACTGTATTTCAAAGCAGAGGAAGAGATTGTCTTCTTACCAGTGCTGTCGTCATAAACCACAGTGACCGTCTTCCATTTAAAGAAGTGGACCAGGTCCAGGATGGCCCGGCTCAGAGAGGAGAAGTCTGGATACAGGCTGACGTAGAAGATGTCTCTGTTGTCCGATACCTGGTGTTTCCACTTGGTTTGGATGTGAGGGACTCCCAGGGCGTTACAGATGGACTGGACTGCGTTGGCCGAGGAACTGTGAGACGGTCCAAAGATGGCCGCCACCCCCAGTGAGAGCTGGTCGCAGGCTGGAGAAGGGGGAAACATTTGTCTGGTTAGATTTCTTCTCTGTTCTGCTTTAGGATGTGTTCATGATGACAAATGGTCCAATCATTTTCTACAGAGATCAGAAACTTAAGTATGAACTACCTGATGCAGCAAGGCTAAATGAATGTAATCTCCTCTGTCAGCAGAAGTCTGGAGATATCATATATTTTTATTAGCATTCAATAGTCTAATGTGCAGAGCCAAATCAGCAAGTACATACCAATGAGCATTGTCTACTCAGAACCTTTGAGCAGATTTAAATCCAATAGTTCTCAGGTCTCTTTGTGATCATAGTTACAGTATACTAAAGTGGATCAGATAAGACCTGTGATCAGTGCTGCTCCAGAGTGAAACACACATGCGTTATTACAAACTAGATCATTGAGGCTGACTTAGTTTCACATCACAAGAGCATCACAACAAAGGCTGTTACTCGTCAGCAAGAGAGGAGAATTAGTTGCTATGTAGCTAGTTACCTGTCGACAACCGCTGTACAAAAAACAGAAATACAGGGGCCCTGATTGGACCTGAAATAAATCTTTTTTTTTAGGTTGGATTTGGACTTACCCAGGTAAAACATGCTGAATAAATAAGCATGATGCTAAACTCTTTCTTAACTCTAACTTTTTAAAGAAACATTGATACATTAGCATCATTTTGACCTCAATAAGATACTAGTAAATGAACAAATGAATACCTGTTTCAATACTATCACGACAAACATAGATTTCCTCGGCACTCAATGGTTTTAATAAACAAAAATGTGCAGGGAAACTCCTGCACACTGTCTAAATTGCACAAATAAATGGGCAACTCTTCCATACCAAAATGTTGCCCATGTATTTGTGCAGTTTAGACTGGAAGGGCCCAATGTGACATCTTTTCAAAGAAATCCTGGAAACAGCCCCGCATTAAAGAATGTGTGTGACAATTTTAACCTGTTAAGACTCTGACACACCAAGGAGATTGTTGGCTGTCGGTCCAACTATGATTGCCACGCTAGTTTTTGTGGTGTGTCCAGCTCTGTCACTATCCGTCGGACCCTGTCTGCCTTCTTTTGGCCGATTTGACATGTTGAATCTGCGTCTGTTGGTGTTGTCGCAGTTAGTGAGAGCAATCACTCTGATTGGCTGTTCAGCTCAGCGAATCAGTGAACGAGAAGAAAAAACGGAAGTGACTAAAACAAAGTCCAACTTTTTATCAGACATTAATCTCCATTAGAAGTATCTATATTATCAGTATCTATATTATGAGAAAATGCTCTTCTCGTATCATAACAACGGTTAATATATATGCATTCTTCTCCGTCCTCGACCCTCTTCTGGTCTCGCCTTTTTGGAATGACGATTACAGACGACCGCCGCCTGCTGGCATGGAGAGTTATTTCCTCTCACGCATGCACAGAATGTATGTGGTGGTTGGCCATCGGCTGAAATCTTTGTGCAACTTTTTGGCCCGAGACAATAGTCAACATCGTCGCCCTAGTTCTTTGCCGTCTGCTTGGTGTGTCAGGGCCTTTAGGACCTCTAACGCCAAGCCCCAATTACTGTATCATCTCTGTAGCTGTGCAAACACAATAATGAAAGCATCAGTGAGGCACTGCATGATCGTTCTTCTCATCCATGAACACCACATGCTGTAGTTTTATGATTCAACCCCACATTCACTGTCATACTGCTTCAAATACACACCAGAGGCCTGCACAGGTTGTCATTTTCATAACATTTTACAAAAACACACAACTTCACATCATTACAGCAGCTGCACTGTGCACTTTAATCATCCTATTTGATATAGTGGAGTTGGCTAAATCCCTGAGACAGGATATAATGGCCCGTAATTGATAAGAGACTTGAAATGTCAGCCCGATGCACACACAAAACTGATAGATTATAGCACTTTATTGGCAGTCTCCGGTGGCCAAACAGGTCTTTGAATTACTGCTACTGAGTCATTACCTGGAACCAATCAATTCCCTCTGTTTACATCTCAAGTGCTCAGCCATTCCTTCCCTGCCTGATTATAATTGTCACAATCCGAGGCACCGCGGCTCGCAAGCCTCCGACGGGGAATACATTTACAATTCTAAACAGTTATGAAATTGGAAATGTGCTCACACACACACGCACACACACACACACACACACACACACACACACACACACACACACACAGTCACCATCTCATATAGATTGAAACACACACACACACACACACACACACACACACACACACACACACACATACACACACACACACACACACACACACACACACACACACACACACACACACACACATACACACAGAGGCATGCCAGACCGGAGGCGGATCTTCCAATCACAGACACGTAAATACCTTTCCTGGAGGCTTCGAAGCTGTCATAGATGTTTATCCTCTGGATGTCGTAGGTGAGCGTGGTGTTTGGCAGTAAGGTTCTGTTCCTGTTGATTGTGTTTAAAGCAAATTTAAAGGCTAGTTCCTCGGCGCCTGATGGGCCACTCTCGACGGACTCAAAAATCCCACCTGTGAAAGACAAGACACACAACTGGTTAGAGATTCATCAGGGTTGAATCATTTCAAGTTGTGATGATTCACAGATTGAGCAACACACTTAGAATTAGAAGAAATCACATCTTTTATATTCTGTTCAACAGAGAAGAGAGCAAACTGTCTTTCTGCTCTTTTATTACTGTTGACAAAAAGAGAATCAATGAAGCCATTTCAAGTGGAAAAAAGAGCATTTATTAAAATTGCTTCATAGTGGATAATAGTCACACAAGGACAAGTAAACAATGTTATTCAAGGTGCTGACAGTAGTCAAATTACTACTTTATATCTAAAAAGAACTCTGCATGAATGCCAAACCTGCAGTTTGCTACAGTGTTGGAAACAAATTAGTCATGATGTCACATGTTTGAGCGAGCGTTGGTTGTACTCAATGATAACCGTCATTGTTCAAGAAAAGATGCAGAACACGTTGGCAAATATGGAGTCACCATACTATTTATATATCATTATGAACAAAAATCTTTATGAATTTAGAAAACCATCCAGTTCTAGTCATCGTTTCTGTACTCGAAGTCCACTCTTGGTCTCCAGTTGTTTTTCAGATTGCTCAAAAATCACTCTGGAGTAGGGATGTGAGCAATAAGTCCACTAAATGGTTAAACATCATCATCCTCGCAAGCTGGTACCAGAATTTCTAGTCTTTTTTTAAATGTTTGCCAAAGATGCCGGTCAAATGTTATGCTCAACCGAAACCTATCCACCAGTCACTGGACTGACTGTAGCTCTGGTTAATAGGCCTGCCCTCCCTGCTCTACTACCTGGATGTAAACAAGCACAGTGCAGTCTGGCAGTATTGTAGTCTGTAAAATGTTGATGAAAATGTGTGTGGGCCAGTTAAACTGTCAGATTGATGGGAGCAATGTGTAACCACATTAAGAAAAGAAATGTGGATGAGAGGACTGAAGGCTAGCAGCGTGCTGCTAACATTAGCCTCACTCTGCAAAATACATTGCTTTGTTTACTAGAAGACAATTTAAATAAACTATGCTTAATTTTGACTGTTCTATGAGTTATTTATGGCCTCTAATCTGTTAAACTGAATCAAAAATTCCCTTTAATCGACAATGAAAATAGCTAGGAACATCCCTAGACTGGAGATCTTCCGTCAGTGTTTTGGAATATCAACTCAGCTCGGTTCAAACAAGAAGCAACGCCCAAGGCTCTACTCCATGGTCATTGTGTTAACCAGTTTCTAGTTTTTCATTGCCTCTTCATCTATCTTCACTAACCCGATGACCAATAACAGTCCAATAACCTCCTCCACAGCTTCCAAATCTTCTATTAGCATCAACCCAATTCCCACATCTCCTTGCTTGATTCATGGATGTTGTGTGACCATTGGCTAATGTTGGCGAGCCATTGATGAAGACACTTCAAGTGTATGAAAGAACATATTGGTACTAGCTAAGCTAGCAGTGGACATAGTGGACATATCCTTTAGGTTAAGAAAATAAAGCCTATAGATAGATTGATAGATAGATAGATAGATAGATAGATAGATACTTTATTGATCCCGAGGGAAATTCAAAGTATCCAGTAGCAGGTTACAAAGACGTACATGACATTTGTTACAACATGAGTACTATGGTACGAGGAAGTACCTAATCTTTGCAATCTTTCTTACAGCCAACAACACTGCAAAATCAAATCCAATTGTTTGTCAGTCTTGAGTCTCCTTCCTATATGATTTAATACCTCGGTAAACGTTTTCCTAATAAGTCTCACTACCTAGTTTCCAGTCTTCATCAATACAGCAAGATGTTCATTTAGTAAATGATGGTCCCGTTTAGAGTTAAAGAGACCATAAAGAAGGGGAGGATTTAAAGCAGGGCTACCTGTGATTGACAAGTTGAGTACCATTCATTACTGCCTGCTCTTAGACTGGACTTCTTTTTACAGATTGATATGATTACAGTTAGTCCTCCAGAGTCAGGGATTAGAGCTGAGTCCTTTGGAACCGTCTGCCTTTCTTTGTAAAGGTTTGATCTACCAAACAACTGTGATCTATCCAGGTATAGCAAACTGTTGCTGTATATAATTGGCCAATCAAAATCAAGTATTCAACCCAGCCATGTAACAACTCAAAGATGTTCTCCTGGGAAGAGGCACCACTCTCTCTCTCTCTCGTATTGAGCCATTGATTCTCAGTTATAAGTGCTAGCTACCACTTTTGTGATTGGTTCACATTTCAGAGGGAAACCAAGTGGAAGTGGTGATGTTTACTGGTCAGCACAAAGAGCTGGGCTCCAGTTCAATAATATGATGAGTGTTTAAGTCTGACGAAACTGTTGCTTTAAAGACAAACACTCAATGATTCTTTCCTCTGTACGTTCATGTCTGCTGTATGTTACTGTAGGATTAACTGTCTGAAGCCACAAACTGGGTACAAACTTGTATTTTTCATTAAAACTTTTTTTAAAGAACATGTTCATTAAGTCCCACAGTAATTAAAATTGGATAAGTTTTAATGTGACACGCCTCTCTAAAACGTTTAATGACAACGCCACAGGCCTGGAAAATAAATTGGGTAAAATTCAAACAGAAAAAAGCCTTAAAGAGTTGAAATGTTGGTTTTGTGTGCCAATAGCTGCAATCTGAAGATATACGCTAATAGAAGCCTGTTTAAACATTTCACAGCTGAGTTAGTTCATGTTAGATTCTGGGCACATTTTGACAAATATTCAGCTGTGTTTCACTCAACAGAGGTCTTAGTTTACTCAGAGAGTCTTATTTTGCTCACAGTGATATCTATACCTCATTCAACTGTATTTACTAACCAGCTCACAAAGGTCCAACACCCTACACCTGCTGTCCATCCCACAGACTCATTTACACTGTGATCATTAGAGGCCAAAGCGCAGACCCTCTGGAACTCACTGCCCATGTCGTTACATTCTTCTGACTCTGATGAGTCCTTCAAAAATCAGTTAAAAACCTTAATGTTTAGACCTGTGGGTGATCATGTCCACCAAGTCTACTTTCTGTGATCTATGTTTTACTGGGCTAATTATTGTTCCTGGTCATAGCTACCTCTTAGTTCTGTTTTTATTTCTGTACTGTGTTTATGTAAAAGTACTTTGTGACCTTCTGTCTGTGAAAAGTGGGATATAAATGGGGAACGCAACATAGCAGCTAGAGGGTGTGGTACTCGCCGCAGTGGCCAAGGGTTCAAGTCTGTCCTCAGCCCTTTGCTTCTCGTCATTCCCCGCCTGCTCTCCTCCCATTTCCTTCCACTTTTTGGCTTTACTATCCATTAAAATCCAAAAATGATGCACAAAAAATCTTTGAAAAAAAGCGCTATATAAATAAAGCTTATTTATAATAGACACCTCTCCAACTTACTTTCATTTCCATAACTTCCACCATTACAAAAGGGATGTTTGTACCTTGCCATTGCAGAAAAAATAACTGAAACTAAAGGTGATGAAGAACTTTCCAACAGTCTCAGTCGGTAATTCAATGAAACAAAGTCTTATCAAATGTTCACAGCAACATTTCTCCTAACATGTTAAGTTGGTTTTGGGACCATTTGTTACAGCTCAATGGCAAAATATGCCCTAGAACACAACTCGCTTTACTCAGAAGGTCAATACAAGGATACAAATACAGGCAGGCAAACACACCAACAGGGGGTCAGGCTGAGCCTAAATCCAGAAATCCAGACTAGGTCAAAAGACCAATACATTTATTATGCAACATTAGAAAGCCAAGGCAATGCACAGAGACAATCTGTCAGAGGGCTAGTGAAAGTAAACTGGTTAAATGTGCTGGGAGCTTATCAAGCAATGGGGAATTGGTGTGTGAGGTGAATGAGCAGGTGGGGAGAGGCTGAGTCTGAAATGACAGGAGCATTATATACAGCATATAACAAAAAAACATATAGAAGATCTTTGTACGGATGCTAAAAGGAGGCGGAGACTGACACCAAAGGAAGCATTACACAGACATTGTAGACAACAAAAATCAGTCACCTCATTTCTCTTACTTACTTTCTCCCTTCTTATCCGTTATGCTGCCTCCTAACCTAAAGAATGTTGTGTTCCATATACATTATATACATAATGTTCAAATCAAACTCACTGCAGCAAATGCAGCATGTGTAGTTTTCTACTCTCTTATTAAATCATGTTTCTGCCTAATATTAACTGGATTATTTCACATGCAATCAACACTGACAATGTCAATGAACGACCACTGAGCCTTCTGATTGCGAGTCCAACCAGCAGCAGGAAGCAGGAGGGTTCAACATGAATGTGAAGCACTATGAAGTGTTTCTTTTGTCAGAGCGCTGTGGAAGTGTGTTTAAGAGTGTGGGTCTCCACATACAGCCCTCCAGTGAATTCTTCTGACAGCCTGCAGATGAATGGACGCAGAGGAGGCCTGGGGAGTTTGGGTTGGGGGGGGGTGTTGGGGTTGACTTCTGAGATCAATGTACTCTGATTGGCCGGCGAATCAATCAATCAAGCCCTTTGGGAGCAGTGGAGAGCGGGCGGTGAGAGATTGGAGTGTTTTGTTTGGGTTGAGCCCTCTGGCCTGGCCCTGCTGGCTCAGTGTCAGTCACAGCCGCCTTTTATTTACTCCCAAGTACAAGCTCTCCACTGTAGGAGCCTGTTCCAGTCCAGACTTAATCCATACACACATCTGCACGAGTACTGCAGCTCCCTCCTGTCACCGGCGATTACCACTGATTCTGATCAATGACTCCCAAACAGTCATGTCACCGCTGGACTCTTTGGAGATGCTCTTTTTCCAGGTTGCACTTATTTTGTCTGTGTGCTGCAGCTTCAGTCTCTGACAATTTGGCCACCGAAAATATACGTTTTAAAAGTTGAGAGGTAGTTTGAAGCCTTCGATTTGTGTTGAACTTGGTGACCCCCGGTGGACAAAGTGGTGTCTTATCACAATAATTGACTAAAGTGGCAGTGAACGGCGGCTAAGTGCGCAGAGCTGGCGAC